ATTCATGAATCACCCGCATTAATGGTGATTCCAGATTCCGTCACATCTCTGAACCTAAGCGGGGCAGGGCCTGGTTAGTACTGTGATGGGAGACCTCTGTGAACAGCAGGTGCCACAGGGGGGCGGCTAAGGCAAGTGTCAAACTGTTGTTGTGTCTTTAGGCAAAATTCTTCACCCAAATTGTCTAGAATGAGTCTGATGTGTGTGTGAATGGTTGGTGGTGGTCGGAGCGGCCGATGGCACAGACTGGTTGCCTCGCTACTGTCAGTGTGCCCAAGGGCAGCTGTTGGTAACGTTGAAGTTTATCACCATTGTGTATGGAGTGAATTAATAATGACATGTGAAGTGTCTTTGAGTGTCCAAAAAAGAATAAAAGATAATGATCAGTTTCAGGTTGTGTCAGCAGTCTAAGCAGAGACGGCGAGACTTCCCAATCCACACACACTTCCTCCAGCTCATCTGGGGAATCCCGAGGCATTCCAAAGCCAACTGAGAGACATCGTCCAAAACGGATGCCTGGGCCATCTCAACTGGCTTCTCTTGTTGTGAAGAAGCATTGGCTCTACTCAGAGCTCTACCCTGTGAGGCTAAGCTCCTCACTGTATCCCCAGAAACGTCTTGGAGGAGTATTGACGTCCACATGTGCTTAAGTCCGTGCCTTAAGCTTTATGTTTATTGAATGAGTCCAACATTCAACACAAATGGACCGCAATAAATGTCTAGGCTACATAATCCATGGTGGTAATAGGATTTATGTAATAGGATAACAAGGACAACATGGAGGACACAAAATAATGTCATAGCGTATCCCTTAAATTTGGACAGATCCATTTAAGCTTCAATCTGGATCAGGGCTAAACCAGGGCTCAAATATGAAACACCGATAGATTAACCTGTGAGACCAAACACACGAAAAGGACAAATATTATACCCTTGTTATGGACCCTAAACATGCATAAAGAAAAGTAAACACAAAGCTTTTCACACAAGGCACACATCACATAAAACAAACAACACAATCACCATTAAAACAATAATATCACAAAAGGGAGTAAGATAATAAATAACAACAAAGCAATAAAAGAGTAAAGATAATATCCTTCAGTTGTATAGTGAAAGTGACTTGACAGCAGATTGTAACGGTGACAAAAGACCTCTGCAGCTGTAAACGTGACATCACAGAGCTTGGAAGTTGCATATTGTGTCTTTTAGTTGCAGAGGATTCCTGAATAAAAAATGCTCTAGTTTTTGACAAGGGAACCGATGTAACGCGCTAAAACCTAAAAAGATTGGAATACTATGTGAGCCATTGCAAGACTGTTTTCCTCCAGTCAAAGAAAACATCCAAAAGCTTTATTTTTTTATTCCAAATGCAGATGTGGCAGTTTACAATTGAATTCCCCGTCAGTGTTAGAGAAGATGCGAGTTTTGAGCGTGTTTTTGAGACTGAAGAATAAGCAGGAAGCGCGAGGAGCCAGAGGAAGACTTCAAAGCGGCTTTCTGCGCCACCCGAGAATTCCACGGATAATAGACTTAAGGGGAACATTTATCAAACGGCACACTTCAGCAGCTAATGTGAGATGTGAGTGAGTGAGGCAGTCGGTCGGGGTGGCCAAAAATTGTGTCGACAATTTTCTTTCTTTCAGTATGTTTGGGCGACGGTCGTAATCCTGTTCTGAAGAGCGGCGTACCGGCGAGGTCACAAGCCTTTACCGTCACTCCGTCACATCAGCGGACCTAAAGCGACAGATCGTATAACTTCTGTGGCGGTGGGTCTATCGGGTTTCTCTGTCTACAACTGCAGGTTTATACAGGATTCAGTTGATAGGGTTAGGGTTAGGGTTACATTAAAATAAATAGGGGTGAAAAGGAAAATGTGTATCTATGTATCTGTCAAACCACTGAATCCTGTATGAACCTAAAAAAAGAAAAAAAGGACTTATGAACTCCCACCCCATCTACATACACATATATTCACTTTGGCTGCCTGCTCCGTAACAGAACTACTGTATTTCAACAACAACAACAATATTTATAAATGATATTGTATAAAATCATTACGGTCTACAACTTGACTGAAGGGGGAAAAAATACATAGGAAACTCATGACATGGTCAGTTGGCTTAGGAAAACTTTCTTTGACGATCTATTAGATGGAGCTACTACAAAGATTGGTATGTGCAGGTGTTTTATCAAAATTGTACCTTTCTGCGAGCCTGGCCAACACCAGACTGAATATCACGAGTGAATATGTAGTCCTGGAACCAACCATTAGTTTTCTCATAGGAGAGGCGTGTTTTACGGGTGCAATGTCAAGCTTATGCATCTGCACGGAGGTGGCAAGTATATCTATTCTACCCCATTGTGTAGTTCAAGCGACAGGAAAGGGAGCAAACCATTTCTGCCGCTTATGCAAGATTAAGTTAAGGTAAGATAGATTTGCATTTGCTTCTGTCGTTTTGGATCCACAAAAGTACAACAAGGGACTGCGATCATTGTCTTGCAGCCCCCTCTCCATTCTGTGACTGGTTCCCAAATGCATGTAAACATTTTGGGTCGAGTTTCCAGGCTGTTTATTGAGTGGCTGCATAGACTATGCAGCCACTATATGCTCTCCTACTGTTTATTGAGTGGCTGCATAGACTATGCAGCCACTATATGCTCTCCTACTGTTTATTCTTCTTCTTCTTCTTCTTCCACCGCCAGATTTTGGCACTTTTCAACTCTTCAACGCTTTCACCAAATTCAACAAATTATACATCGTTACGACCGGCTTCACCGTCTCATTATTGCTATTACTTTTCACACTTCCACATTTAGCACTTTTTCAGATATTAACAAAAGTTCAAGCACTTTTTCCCATAGACTTACATTGGACCAGTACAACAGATTACTCCCCATACAACACATTACCAAACTAACAATTCATCACCACAGATACAATACATTACAACATCTTACAACACATTTAGCACTTTACAACAAATTCAACACCTTACAACACATTTAGCACTTTACAACAAATTCAACACCTTACAACACATTTAGCACTTTACAACAAATTCAACACCTTACAACACATTCAGCACCTTACAACAAATTCAACACCTTACAACAAATTCAACACCTTACAACACATTTAGCACCTTACAACACATTCAACATCTTACAACACATTTAGCACTTTACAACACATTCAACACCTTACAACACATTTAGCACTTTAACAAAAATTCAACATATTTAGCACTTTACAACAAATTCAACACCTTACTTCACATTCAGCACCTTACAACAAATTCAACACCTTACAACACATTTAGCACTTTACAACACATTCAACACCTTACAACACATTTAGCACTTTACAACAAAATCAACACCTTACCACACATTCAGCACCTTACAACAAATTCAACACCTTACAACACATTTAGCACTTTACAACACATTCAACACCTTATAAAACATTTAGCACTTTACAACAAATTCAACACCTTACAACACATTTAGCACTTTACAACACATTCAACACCTTACAACACATTCATCACTTTACAACACATTTTGCACTTTACAACACATTTAACACCTTACAACACATTTAGCACTTTACAAAAAATGCAATACCTTACAACACATTTAGCACTTTATAACAAATTCACTACCTTACAACAAATTTAGCACTTTACAACACATTTAGCACTTTACAACACATTCAGCACTTTACAACACATTCAGCACTTTACAACACATTTAGCACTTTACAACACATTAAGCACTTTACAACACATTCAGCACTTTACAACACATTTAGCACTTTACAACACATTCAGCACTTTACAACACATTTAGCACTTTACAACAAATTCAACACCTTACAACACATTTAGCACTTTACAACAAATTCAACACCTTACAACACATTCAGCACCTTACAACAAATTCAACACCTTACAACACATTTAGCACCTTACAACACATTCAACATCTTACAACACATTTAGCACTTTACAACACATTCAACACCTTACAACACATTTAGCACTTTAACAAAAATTCAACACATTTAGCACTTTACAACAAATTCAACACCTTACTACACATTCAGCACCTTACAACAAATTCAACACCTTACAACACATTTAGCACTTTACAACACATTCAACACCTTACAACACATTTAGCACTTTACATCAAAATCAACACCTTACAACACATTCAGCACCTTACAACAAATTCAACACCTTACAACACATTTAGCACTTTACAACACATTCAACACCTTATAAAACATTTAGCACTTTACAACAAATTCAACACCTTACAACACATTTAGCACTTTACAACACATTCAACACCTTACAACACATTCATCACTTTACAACACATTTAGCACTTTACAACACATTCAACACCTTACAACACATTTAGCACTTTACAACAAATTCAACACCTTACAACACATTTTGCACTTTACAACACATTCAACACCTTACAACACATTTAGCACTTTACAAAACATTCAATACCTTACAAAAAATTCAATACCTTACAACACATTTAGCACTTTATAACAAATTCAACACCTTACAACAAATTTAGCACTTTACAACACATTTAGCACTTTACAACACATTCAGCACTTTACAACACATTCAGCACTTTACAACACATTTAGCACTTTACAACACATTAAGCACTTTACAACACATTCAGCACTTTACAACACATTTAGCACTTTACAACACATTCAGCACTTTACAACACATTTAGCACTTTACAACACATTCAGCACTTTACAACACATTTAGCACTTTACAACACATTAAGCACTTTACAACACATTCAGCACTTTACAACACATTCAACACTTTACAACACATTTAGCACTTTACAACACATTTAGCTCTTTGCAACACATTCAGCACTTTACAACACATTTAGCACTTTACAACACTTTCAGCCCCTTACAACACATTCTTCTTACTGCATCTCATTCACTTCTTCCTCTTCTTCCCCTTCTTTCTCTTCTTCCTCTTCTTCCCCTTCTTCCTCTTCTTCCTCTTCTTCCTCTTCTTCCCCTTCTTCCTCTTCTTCCCCTTCTTCCTCTTCTTCCTCTTCTTCCTCTTCTTACTCTTCTTCCTCTTCTTCCCCTTCTTCCCCTTCTTCCTCTTCTTTCTCTTCTTCTTCTTCTTCTTCCCCTTCTTCTTCTTCCTGCTCCTCTTCCTTCTTCTTTCCTCTTCATCCCTTTTCTTTCTTTCTTCTTCCTTCTTCTTCCCCTTCCTCTTCCTTCTTCATCCCTAACCCTTCCAACATCTATGCAGCCACTCACAATGGCTTCAGCCATTGTACCATTTCTAGTTCTTCTTCTTCTTCTTCTTCCACCGCCAGATTTTGGCACTTTTCAACTCTTCAACGCTTTCACCAAATTCAACAAATTATACATCGTTACGACCGGCTTCACCGTCTCATTATTGCTATTACTTTTCACACTTCCACCTTTAGCACTTTTTCAGATATTAACAAAAGTTCAAGCACTTTTTCCCATAGACTTACATTGGACCAGTACAACAGATTACTCCCCATACAACACATTACCACACTAACAATTCATTACCACAGATACAATACATTACAACATCTTACAACACTTACAGCACCTTACAACACATTTAGCACTTTACAACAAATTCAACACCTTACAACACATTTAGCACTTTACAACAAATTCAACACCTTACAACACATTTAGCACTTTACAACAAATTCAACACCTTACAACACATTCAGCACCTTACAACAAATTCAACACCTTACAACACATTTAGCACTTTACAACACATTCAACACCTTACAACACATTTAGCACTTTAACACAAATTCAACACATTTAGCACTTTACAACAAATTCAACACTTTACAACACATTTAGCACTTTACAACAAATTCAACACCGTACAACACATTTAGCACTTTACAACAAATTCAACACCTTACAACACATTTAGCACTTTACAACAAATTCAACACCTTACAACAAATTCAACACCTTACAACACATTTAGCACTTTACAACACATTCAACACCTTACAACACATTTAGCACTTTAACACAAATTCAACACATTTAGCACTTTACAACAAATTCAACACCTTACAACACATTTAGCACTTTAACACAAATTCAACACCTTACAACACATTTAGCACTTTACAACACATTCAGCACTTTACAACACATTTAGCACTGTTCTTCCCCTTCTTCCTCTTCTTTTCCTTCTTCCTCTTCTTCCTCTTCTCCCCCTTCTTCCCCTTCTTCCTCTTCTTCCTGTTCTTCCACTTCTTCCTGTTCTTCCCCTTCTTCCTCTTCTTCTCCTTCTTCCTCTTCTTCCCTTCTTCCTCTTCTTCCCCTTCTTCCTCTTCTTCCCCTTCTTCCTCTTCTTCCTGTTCTTCCTCTTCTTCTCCTTCTTCCTCTTCTTCCTCTTCTCCCCCTTCTTCCCCTTCTTCCTCTTCTTCCTGTTCTTCCACTTCTTCCTGTTCTTCCCCTTCTTCCTCTTCTTCTCCTTCTTCCCCTTCTTCCTCTTCTTCCCTTCTTCCTCTTCTTCCCCTTCTTCCTCTTCTTCCCCTTCTTCCTCTTCTTCCTGTTCTTCCCCTTCTTCCTCTTCTTCTTCTTCCCCTTCTTCCTCTTCTTCCCTTCTTCCTCTTCTTCCCCTTCTCCCCCTTCTTCCCCTTCTTCATCTTCTTCCTCTTCTTCCCCTTTTTCCTGTTCTTCCTGTTCTTCCCCTTCTTCCTGTTCTTCCCCTTCTTCCTCTTCTTCTTCCCCTTCTTCTTCCTCCTCCTCTTCCTTCTTCTTCTTTCCTCTTCTTCACTTTTCTTTCTTCTTCCATCTTCCCCTTCCTCTTCCTTCTTCATCCCTAACCCTTCCAACATCTATGCAGCCACTCACAATGGCTTCAGCCATTGTACCATTTCTAGTTCAATATACTAAAGCAAAGGAAGGTTTCTCACCCATCATCTGTACTTCTTAGCAAGTTTTCCCGACGTTTCGTCCTCAAACTAGCGGACTTCTTCAGGGAATGAATTCTCGGACCGCGCGTTGGAGATTTATAACCTATGGGTGTGGTTAGCCACACCCTAATCCTGATACTAACTCATAAACAATCTAAGGTCTGCTTGATGTAGAAGGGAGCAGATCTAACGACCCTGCTGAGGCTAACGACCCTAATCGTTTATCGTTTAGACCCTAAAATAAACCTGTTCACTAATACTACTGTTTTGTTTATTCGTGGTCTTTTTTTCCCCTTTTCCCCATTTTTGCAAAGAACATTGTGGAGCGCTGTGATGCACCTCTCTTCTCGATCCACTTACCGCCTGACTCACTCTTGCCATTATACAATCCAGGGACTGATGGTTCACTAAAACGTTTAAACAGCGGCTCTTGTTATTTAAATGAATGTCATGATTAAAAAGTGACTGGGAAACAGCCTCATAAATATCACTGCTGCAAGACTTTAAATGGAAAAATCCTCCAAAGTCATTAATTGTGCAACAGTCATGAAAAATATGCAAATACGCCTTTGACATTCTGATATGTAAATCATGTTATAATGAAAAGTGAGATTATTCACACGAGCCGTGCAAAAAAATAAACATGCTGGCACATTTATTTTAATAGTTTATTAAACACAATCATTTGAGGACTTTCACTGATCTGTCTTTCGTTGTTTTTCAGTGCAAAAAAAAGCTGCCGTGCATGTAATAAATCATTGTAATGACCTTCGGCCCGAAACAAACAAGGACGCTGCTGACCTTATCAAAAACTTGCTGTCAATGAAAACTAGTAAAACATAAAACTGTCTTGGGTGTGTAACATAATCATAATAACTTATAAATATTATGTAGATGATTGTGAATTACAAATAAAACATAGTGTAATTTTAATTGTGGGACTAATTGAATATTGATTACTTGATGAAACAAAGAAACAAGTGCAATATAAGAAATATTTGCAGACATTTCCCACAGTGAAATTGATTAACTCTAACTTTTGCTTACCTCCATGAATAGTGTACAGGAAAGCAGTGCAGTAATCTTGATTCATTCAATCAATTCAATTCAAGTTATTCTTGTATAGCCCTAAATCACAACAGTCATCGCAGAGGACTTAACAAAACTGTTGAAATCGCCAACACAGATCATAGAATCAAACAGTTAAGACACAAACAATATAGAACACATGGTTTGTGTCCATAGGGAGTTTGACCAATGTCCATGAATGTTGATAAATGTCCATACATGTTGAATGTTAGAGTGTCCTGGATCATCACCAGTCCTTCTTGTCAGACCACCAGCCTCTAGGAGGGTCTGTTAGACTGGGAAAAACTCTAAAACCCAGCGGGAGAAAAGTGAGAAACCTCGGGCAGAACCACATCTCTCCAATTAAAAGAAACAATTGACTGAAATCAGGCCAGGTTAGGTCAGATTTAAGTCATTTATGATATTTTTTGGTGTTTACTGCCATATTCAAGGCTTCAGGCCCTTTCCATGGGAGAAACCACAAGAACTCCTGATGAAAACAATAGTCTTTCTGATTTTATCGCAAAACATTAGGCCTAATTAGAGTTCTTTCAATATTTCAACCTTGAGTCACGGCTGCTTCAAAAACACGGGCGGTGTACAGGTGCTACGTGGGCACAAACGGTGACAAAGTGTGCCGTGCAGTCTGTATCGATCGCTGGAGCTCTGCCGCTGGAGGCTACGAGAGGAAGGCAGCTGAGGTCAGGGGCGCTGTCCACCTGTGATGATTCTGACCACTGAGACACTCCAGATAAAACTTCAGACGAACAAAGTACTGCAATGGAACAAGATAAGAGGGTCCTGAGAGGGTTACACCACCAGGTCTGGCCGTCAAACCAAAAGGTACGGCTTCCATAGGTCTGGACATGAGCTGCATAAAAATAAAAAGATAAGTTTTTTATTCTCTACAGATTCTATTCTTTACATATTGTTCTTGTTCTTACTTCTTTTCCATACATCTTGTTCTAAATGCCGACGTAACGGACACTGAATTTCAGTAGTGTCCAAATTTAGCCCACCAGGGGGATTATATCGGCACAAGAATGGGCACAGAGAGTTGGACAAAGTGAACTATTTTGAGGATTTTTTTCCCTGCGGAGGAAATGAATAGATAGGAATGGATGAATAGGGAAATCTGGCTGTCGCTGTTCAGACTGTTGCCTCCGTCTTTTGTTGTTGTAATTAGCAAAGACTGCAATTATTTCAGTTCTTTGCAAACACATAAAGACCAAAGATGGACAAATAATCAATTTGGGAGAACGTGTCTTGTTTTGTGTTTACTTAATCTTTTGTCATAATTTTCTCATTTCATGTATTTTCTTAATTTATAGAAACTTTTATTTGGAACGTTTTGACATTAAAGTCAACGACTGGATTCCAGAGGGTCTGAGATTTACAACAAGGTATAGCATGACTGTATTGGTGGAGCTGAAGTTGGTTGGATGACACTGTCAAAGTTCCTGAATGGCGACTTTGTGTTAGCAGCAGAGGGCCACATAAAATGGCACAGAGGGCCACAATTGTCTACGGGGCTGAGTTTGGACATGCTTGCCCTATATACTATACCTTTCGCTCTTCCGCCTTCTAGTGATCAGAGGGTTGATAATGTTGGCGAGTAAAAAGGCAAAAAATAACTATATTATAAAAAACATATAATTAAACGTAATAGGGATAAAAAAAAATTCATGCACGTACATTCATACACATGCTGTGTATTCATATTTACAACAGGATGATAATGAATGAAGTGAAAGTGGTCTGAATGGAGTGAAAGTTGAGTGAATAGAGCTCACATAAAACGCAGAGGGAAGTCTCAGCAGTGCCGCGAAGTCTGACTGATAACAGCCATTTAAATATATTTAATAATGCAACTCAAAGTCCGGCAGAATAGGAGATGTCCCGACTAAATTACCCATAACTCAGCAGGCTCCGCACATCTCCACTCCTGCTCAGTGCCCAGTCCAAGTAATGATGACACTGAGGAAATAGGAATCTGCATCCAATGACCAAAACTCCAATTTCAGATGTGCAAACAAGCTGGTACAATATTGATGGAGAGAGCTCATTCCAATACTGGGAATATAGTGAGAAATGTTTAAGGATGAATAAAGGGTTTATATAGAGGACGGAAGCCTGAAGGTGATGGAGAGAGGACATAGCACAGCCGATGGCCAGCATAGCGTGGAAACATGGCAATAACAAAAGGCACAACGTGTCTCCCCCTTAAGGTCATTTCAATCAATCATAGTTTATTTATCAATCACTTTTTATACAAACAAGACATGACACTACTCTAAACACAAAGTTTGTTTCTGTTTTTTTATCCAAAACATTCTTTTTTCACAGTTTGTGAAGCGAGGTCACAGTAAACGGCTATATTGAAAATGTATGAAACTGCAACCAGCCTTTTTGTTCTGTTTACAAATACTATAGGGCTCCATTTCCTGGTGCATTCTTTATCAAGAAGAGATACATTAACAGCCTGGAAGAAGTACATCAACTACTTTAAAAACATACATCAGTTGAAAGGGGCTATAACAAGCTTATAGTGCGAAGAGAATGGCCCCCCATGGTGCTCAGCCTTTACTGGTGCCGTGTCTATAGATGGGAGGGGTAATCCAGATTGTGCAGTACATTGTCAGCTGGATAAGTCCTTACAAAAACTCACGCCTCGCTCTGTCCTCTGTCTGACTCACAGAGAAGCCTTATCCCAGAGAGAATCAGATAGTGAACATGACATTTGGTGTTTTTGTCCAGTAAGTCCAGAGTTGGCGAGTCAAGTAAGCATTAGAAATAACAAAGACATTCCAAGACAGCATATGGCCTGCTGCTTCTGGAATTCTGCAGCTCTGAAACTGGACTGAAATAATAGATTATACAAAACATGTGTTCTGTTATCGGCTAATGTTGCTATCATCTAATATTATGTGATTAAAACGTCTGCGTATTTCTCCACAGGATACAGGTGGTTGCAATTTCTCGGTGATAACTGCTTGTTTTTAAATTAGACTTTCAGAAAATGTGCAAACGTTTAATATTTCTAATCATATGTTATACCAAATGAGGAGTGTTGGGTGTCTGTAATCAAACCAGTGTAATTATCATTAGAATAAATCACACACTGAGGCTACAATTACAAAACTTAATTCATGAGAATTTAACATAAATGACAGACAAGCGACACATCACACTCACGTGGTGTTCACATAGAACAGATTCTTTCCAGCAACTTCTGGGTCTTTTTAAAGGTGTGGTTGCCCTGGGGCTGACAACATGACTGCCTTTTACAGCATTAGTAGGACCACTGTGCACCTGATTCTAGCGGTCTCCCATCACAGCACTAACCTGGCCTCACACTGCTCTGCTTCTGAGATCTGATGTGGTCCATTTTCCAATAGAAAAACATCGTAATCAACAAAAATACATCTGGTGCACTTTTGCACAATTCAAAGAGTAAAGTTATGTTTAACGTACTTCATGACATCACTTCATGTGTTACAACATTGTTCCCCTCCCTACATTTCTGGCTCATAATTTCTCAAGAGAAAGGGCATCATTTACTATCGCTGGCTGTGTTTGCAGACGGTCATTTTTGCATGAGGATAACAACAAATAGCGGTGTGGTTTCACAGGAGCAGTTGACTGCTTAAACCAAACTTTACACGGATATTTTGACTCTTAAAACCCACATATAACAACATGGGACCATCAACATCTCGCCTCAAATTGCATTAAAAATGACATTTGTGTCTTAATTTGTTTAATTTGTATTTGAACTTTTTAAACAATTCGCAAACTTTACGTCCGCCATCTTGGTTTTATTCAGACACCGTGAA